TTGTAGTAACTAGGATGTTGATGGTAGGGTCGTGGCTCAACCCATTTCCTGACACATCTTGCACATTTTTTCTTTCTTTCCAATATTACACAATACAGCAAAATCTATTCATTATATTGTGTTTATGGGGTGAGAAGTGGTTTCAATTAAGCAAGGTCCAAGTTTACCGAAGAGAATCACTTTGCAACAACAGTAAATCTATTTATAACAAACCTTCATCAAAAGCAGTAAAAGCAGAGCTAAAACATGTAGTATTTCAAAATTTAGAAGTGCAAGCCTTTGACATTTGACTTATCTTGTTTATTCTATTTCCTCACTTAAGCAACACTTAAAGGAAAGAAAACAAGTAGAAAGTATATACAGGAGTGGATTTGGAAAGAAAATATTTAAGTTATAAAATTTCATTAACTTTTATTTGTCTTTTATGTGTAAAAGGAAAATGTAGCCATGGTGGGGAGACTGACCTCAGCAGTTCCCAGAATCCTCGAGGTGGGATCAGTAAAGATGAGCCCCTTTCCCATAATACTGATCAACACAATAATGCTGTAAACTTGGCAGCTGAAGCCACCCTGGAGCTGCTAGAAGACATCCGTGGAGCTATAGGAAACAAGGACTACCTTCGGTATTGGAATAGATTCCTCGTATATCTTTAGACAAAGAGATTTTATAACTTGCAAAGCTGGGAGTTGTTCTCTTAACAACCTGTTCTCTACACTACTGTTCAAACATTTGGAGTCAGTTAGATTTTTTTCTGAAAACTATTAATACTTGTATTCAGAAAAGATGCATTACATTGATCAAATGTGACAGTAAAGACATTTATAATGTTACAAATATATTTCTATTTCTAATAAATGCTGTTCCTTTTCTATTCACGGTTTCCACAATTTTTAACAGCACAAGTGTTTTCAACTGTGATAAGACATTTTTCTTGAGCAACAAATCAGCATATTAGATTTTTTATTTCATGTTACACTGAAGACTGGTGTAATGGCTTCTGAAAATTCAGCTTTGCCATCATGAAATTACATTTTAAAATATAGTAAAATAGAAAACAGTTCTTTTAATTTGTGAATTACTGTTTTTACTGTAGACCTATTTTTGCTCAAATAAATGCAGCCTTGCTGAGCAGAAGAGACATTAAAAAGTCTTACTGCACCCATACTTTTGAATGGCAGTGTATATAAATATAAATGTATTATTATTATTTTTTTTAAATCTAATTTTAAATCCATTAACCAAAATAACTGTCCCTCTTTTTTCCTCTTCATCAGGCTGATGGGTATCGCAAGATCTGCAGTCCTAGTTTTTGTGATTGACACCACAGGCAGTATGACTGACGACATTGCAGAAGCCAAAAGAGTCGCCTTCAACATCATTGACAGTAAGAAAGGAACTCAAGATGAACCATCTGAATATATTCTGGTGCCATTTAATGATCCAGGTGAGTGCAAAAAAGATTTCCATTAAGCACTGATTTACATAGCACATAGAAATATTTGGTAAAAAATAATCAATTTGAATTACACTGAACTGTTTTTATTGAGACTTTTCATATTTGAATGCAATTTATAATAGTTTTTTTTTAATACCAATATTCGTTCATTATCTTGTTTTTTTTCCCTCTGAGTTTGTTTTTGTCTGCGAAGAAAGGATGCAATTTGAATTTGACCAAGATGAGGTATCTTAGGAGACATAATGAAGCCTTTATGTTGGGAACATGCCTATGGTGACATAAAATATTGCCTTTGTAGGCAGTTTACTAAGATTTGGAACAGAGCAATGATACTTTTTCATTTATATTATGGCAAAAGAGATCAGATATAGTCCAAATTAATATTAATTACATACAGACACAATCTGTTCACATTTTGTATGAATTTGTAGAATTTGGACCACTAATAAGAACCACAGACTCAGATGTGATGAAGTCAGAGATCTCCAAGATCAAAGCTGATGGAGGAGGGGATACCCCAGAAATGTGCCTGTCAGGACTTCAGGTACTGTGCTGTGTGGCCTTTCAGCCAATCATCTCAAACGTCATATGTGACCCTGGACCACAAAACCAGTCTTAAGTCGCTGGG